CCCCCCCCCCCCCCCCTACCCTCCCAAGTCAAGTTTCTCCCGGGATTGAGAGTCATTAGGGAACAGTATTTAGGACCATCGCTAGGGGGTATACCTGTCACAATTTTTAGGAGCAAGTACTCTTTTTACACTACTGTAATTTTGTATTTTTTGTATTTTGACTCTGATCCCAACCCTAAACATAACCTTAGTCCTAGCCCTAACCCTTACTGCATCCTTAAACACTTACTGCAATCCTAACCCTTACTGCAATCCTAACCCTTATTCAAAACCTACTCCAAACTCTAATCCTAAAATTCTAAAAATAGTAACTGTTCCTAAATCTTGACTCCTGTGCAGTCTTGCACTACAATGGGTTAATTGGTTTATATCTATATTTTCAGCCTTTCATTCCCCAGTCTTGGAGGCGGTGGGAAAAGAATGCCATTAAGCCAACCAAAACGTGAAGTTAAAAGAGCCAAAGCTGTTGTATTTCAACCAAGAAAGACTTGGACTCATGACTTCTGTCTCTTGTCTAACCCCAGTTGCAATGTTACTCCTTCAATAAGTCAATTGACAAAATTGAAAGATGCAGGTTTGGGGAGGAAAAGGATCACTTTTCCTGACAAAAAGGCATCATTTATGAAATTTAAATCTCGAACTCATTAATAATTCATGAGCAAATTAGCGAATGAACTCACCCTAATTCGTCACATGATTGAGGTTGGATACCGCAAGGAAACACGCTAAAAATCATATACCATCACTGTTGTTAGATGAAAAACGGTTTTCATCTAATAACTGAGATCCTAATTACAAATTCAAGTCAAAACACAACAATATACTATAATAATTACTGACGGTTATAATAACCTATTGTTTTCTCTCTGCATTATATCAGCGAATGTCGAGAAGCTAAAATAGCACCCAGCATTATTAAAAATAATGCAGCGTGCACACAGCATTATTAAATATAAAGCAGCGTGTATCAGTGCACACAGACATTATTCGCAATCCTTCGTCATCCTGACAAGTACACGCGATAACGTGAACATCTCAAGATGAGAAGTTGACAGTGCTAAAGGCCCCTCGTACAATATCATCGTGCGCCTGAAGCACTGCCAAAACGGTCGCTGTGAGTCCTTTCAGCTCAACTTTATAGAGAAATAGTTTCGTTTGCGCTTGTGGGATTTTATCCTAGATATATGCATGTGCAGAACACACCATAACTTCTATTCCCGTGTTTATCCAGTTTAATAATGTTTTCGTTCGAGATGTTATGTAAACAACTCGTTTCTCGTGTTTCATCAGGGGACCAAACACTCGAAAACAGTAAAACACTCGCGCTTCGCGCTCGTGTTTCATACAGTTTTCTCGTGTTTGGATCCCCTGATGAAACACTCAAACTCGTTGTTTACATATAACGTCAAGCCTTGAGGAAGAATATCCTAAGTTGAAAGATCAGGACGGAGCATTTGAGATAATGCGAGCCCAGGGGGGCGGTAACTCAAGGCCACTCCATCTCATTCAGATGCCATCTGAAGGACACAACATACCATATTTAAGAGAAGTGATTGGTACAACCACATTGCTATATATTAGACCAATCAAGTGTGTGATATCCACAGAAAAGTCGGATGTGGAAGCAACATCAACCTCGCCGACAACTGAATGCAGTGGTTGCCAAGAGCGGATGCTAATCTCAAGCTTGCGCCAGCATAAGTTTGAATGTAAATCAATGGTCTGCAAATCTGATGATAGTGACGATGAAATTAATATGCATAAAGAGGACACCAAATCCAGTACTGCATCAAAATTTCATGAGGAGAAGAAAAACTCACAACATGATGAAGTTATCTCAATTCTCGATGATGGTGAAGGCCCTTTTAAGCGAACATGGTCAAGTCAGCTTAAGCACGTATTACCTGATTCAGAAATGGAAGAGCTGGAAGAAGTATCCTTACAATCTGCATCATTAGATGAAGCTGCTGAGCTTATGTTAAACAAACTTGGTAAGGATGAAGATGAAGCTACGTCAATAGAAGATCTTGTTGAAACGTTTGCCAAGAGAAATTCATTAGAAAGTGGTGAAGACGAATTTGTAATTGTTGACCGAGAGTCGTTTTGGATTGATGTCATAAGGTTTTATAAAAAAAGCAATTGGAAAACCAGAACTTTTAAAAAGAGAGTTGTCTGTGTCATTCAAGAACGAAGATGGGTTGGACGGTGGTGCAATGAAAATTGAGTATTTTTCGCTTGCTTTACAAGAAGTAAAAAAACAGATTATTTGAAGGAAACGAGGCTAACTTGATTCCAATTAAAGATGCAACAAAGTGTTTGCTTTTTCAACTTGCAGGAATGATTATTAGTCATTCACTTTCACAACAAGCGTCTATTGGTTTCCCTGTTCTTGCACCCTATGTCTATGCATACATGGTCGGTGCAGGTGAAGATGAGGTCGCTACACTTATGAATAAAAACTTTATTCCTTTGGATACATACATACATATACATACATATTTATTAGTTATCTCAAAACATGAGCTTTTCATAACTAATTTACAAGTTATTTTATAATTAATTTACAAATGATTTCTAAAATTAAGTCTATAAGTTATACATGCAATTGTTAAAAGGAAAATTTACAATCTAGGTACTTTTTAAAAATATATTAAGAAAATGTTTCTTAAGATAATGTTTAAAATGTTTAATTGAGGACAACTGTTTGGCAGTTGGGCTGAGCGAATTCCAAATAGATACAGAGCGATACTCAAAAGACTTCTGCCCTGTTGCAGTTCTGCATTTGGGTATCTGAAAGTCATTTGATTGTCTGGTTATACGACCACTTATTTGTTGTCTTTTATTCAATTTCCCACACAGATAAGATGGCGCAAGGTCATTTACACATTTAAATGTCATGACAGCATCCCTAATATAAAGTTCCATTGCAACCGGCAGCCACTTCAGGTCTTTTAAAATGGGAGTAATATGTTCAAACTTTTTCGTTCCAGTTACTATCCTAGCAGCGAAATTTTGAACACACTGAAGCTTTCCAATATTCGTTTCAGATGTTGATGCCCACACTGAGGAACAGTAATATAATTTACTGAATACCAAACAATTTATGATTTTGATTAAAATTTCACGCTTAAATAGGTGGCGAACTCTGTTTATTTGTACCAATGCGCTCATACAAGAGGACACTACGTTAGCTACATGATCGTTATAGTTCAGATATGGGTCCAATGTGACACCAAGGTCTTTCGCATTTGATGAAATTGTAAGTTGTTTGTCCATTAGAGTAAATGTTATATCCTGAGGTAACTTGGAAACAAGTTGGGGTACTCCAAATACCATTACCTTTGTCTTAGTAGGATTGATAAGTAGGTAGTTGGTGCAACACCATTCAAAGGTCAACTTAAGATCTTGGTTAACTTTGGTTACAGCATCATCTAATTCGTTTAAGGAGAAAGCCAAAAATAGTTTGGAATCATCTACATACGATTCAATGTTACAGTGCTGTGCAACAGTAGGTAAGTCATTAATATACAAGCTGAACAAGATAGGTCCAAGAATTAAACCTTGTGGAACCCCATTTTTTATCGGTAGCTTACTGGACAAAGTTGATCCAATGCGTACGGCTTGTCTCCTGCCTGTTAGATAACTATAAAATGATCTAAGTGCTGATGGCGATATTCCTAGGCTTCTGAGTTTGCCAAGAAGTAAATCATGGTTTATACTATCATAAGCCTTACTTAGATCCAACAGGACTAGCACGGTCATCTGTTTTTTATCCATAGCTTTAAGTATAAAATCAGTAACATGGATATTCAGCGTTTCTGTTGAGTTATATTTTTTGTTCCCACTCTGGTGATTTGTGAGTAAGTCATTTGCATCCAAGTAATTCATAAATTGATTTAAGGCAATTCTCTCACATATCTTAGAAGCAGATTGTGAAAGTGATATTGGACGATTGTTTCTGGCATCTTCATGGTCCCCTTCCTTGAGATGAGGTACAACTACCGTGTATTTCCAGTCCTCTGGAAACACTGATGTTTCAAATAACTGGTTTATAATATCTGTCAATGGAGAGGAAATGTTGGACAGACAGTCATGAAAAAGTTTCATAGGAATCTTGTCAGCTCCGGGCGATTTATTCGCAGGCATTTTACCAATGCAAGTCTCAAGATCATGTTGAGTTATTGGTTTAAATTCAAACTGTTCTGACACAAGTGTAACGGGTGGAGCTGTATTTGAAGAAATATCTATATTGTACTCACTGGCTAAATTAAGAACAGTTTCTGCCGTGTTCTGGCCAACAGAGGTGAAGTAATCATTAAACTCATCGGCTGTCGCCCGAGTATCTTTGGTGTATTGGACTGTAGATGCAGACGCTCTAGATGTTGGGGCATAATTACGTATAATCTTCCACATAGCTCCAGGCTTCCCATGGCATT